AAATACTCTTTGTTTTCTTTTTCATTGGCCGAGTACCGCAAATATAGCCATGTTTACATACTGTATAGTACGGGTACTTGCATATATAGTTTTTATACTCAAAGTATTGCTGGAAGCATAATGCAGTCTTCTTTTACTTGATGACCTTTTTCAAGCGTTCGGTTATCAACTTACAAGATAATGACTTAAAATGCACCATTTTACATGATCTAAGCGCAAGAAAAATGTTAAGTTTTTATTTGATGCATCACAATATTGATTTTATATCAATTTTATTAGAACTCGTAACATTTTTTCTATTACAATGAGATTTTATAACAGCCTGAGATGCTCCTATTTCTCTGAAATAAAATAAAACAATGGTGTTATAGAAGCTTTTTCTGTGTAGACCTAGCTGGACCCAAAATATTGTAACTGATTCAGATCATGGAAAATTTGAAAGAAGTATTAAGGTGGCTCCAGTGGCCTCAATAATAAAATTATAAATAACCCAACCGAGGTTAATAAAATTGAATTATATTCTTGGAATTCCCATCTTTCTATTCGTATGAAAAAAAATTAAGGTTGACGATGAAAATTGTAAGAAATCATGCTTACAAAATCGTAGTTTTAAGACGGGTTAGATAGGAAATGCAATCTTACACGATATACAACCTACTGCTGCACTTATATAAATAACCCGTAAGGTGTAAAAAATATACTATCTTGTACATATTATTACGCAGTTTTCGATTACATGAGAAAAGTGTCTTGTTATAGAACAAAATCTTTAAATAATCGGAGACTAAGTATACAGTTGCGAGTGCAAGTCAGCTCTCAGCTGTCTGCATTCTGCAGAGTACATATATATAGGTATAACTACTGTTAAACTTAGGAGCGTACCGTAACAGTTCATCAATTAGGGCACCATAAAACTTTTTCATTTTTTTATATCAACTCACTAAAGTAACAGATAAAATGTAGAATATGGCTTACAATAGTCTCTACGATAATTTTATACCATATTTTAAAGAAAATAATGATTATTTTTTCGTCTCCCCATTTTGATACGGCACTAGGCGCTGGAGCCACCTTAAACAATTGAAAACCCATTTTAAGTGTTTGTCCACTACAGCCCTTAATCTGATTTTAATAGAATCATTTATACATCTACGTCCCGGTCCCGGTCATTTACCGGATGAGTCATAACAATTTTCTCGTCACACTTGATTCAGGCTACGGACTGGCACTATAAATACTGGCGGGTTCGAAAACAATTGTAATGTTGTTGAATAGAAAAAATTTTACTGACATGAAGATGAAGACATTATAATATTAAACAGTAGCAATCGCTGTATTGGCTGAAATTTTTTGGGCACTTCCTGAAAAAAGTTGACGTTTGAAAATTACACATTTCAATATTCAAAATAGTTGTTTGTTGTCTTACAAATGGAACTATAAAATTTTGCCCAAAATATGGAGGTCTGGGCACATCATTTTTGATATAATTATTCAAAATTTAGTAACAAAAGTTCTTAACCTTTGGATTGTCAGGCATAATACTTATCAAATCATGAGTTAAGCAGTCGCTTGTATCATCGGGATTTTAAAAAAACCGTCCAAAAAAACATTTAAAAAAATTTTCTCTTTCCGAACTATCTTTGTACTCTTTACTTAGACCAGGCTCTTGAATCTTATACCACCAACTTTGGCCTAGATGGCAACAGCAATCACAACTTTGTGCTTTTGGTAAAATTGCACTTGTAGCATTATGAACTGCTAATTCAAAGTCAATAAAAACAGTAGTAGATGGGTTGAATGATGAAAGCAATATTTCACACTCAGATACTTAAATAGAAAAGACTTCGCAATAAGATTATGTGGATCTAAAAGTCCAAAGCCTAGATAAAGTGTGCCAAAAAAGTTGTTATGACTTATCGGCTTAATGACCGGGACGGTATTCAACCATAAGGGGAAATAAACGTGGACGCAACTCGACCATAAGATAAAATCAACGAGGTTGCGACTCATCCATGAGATAAAATCACCGAGACGTAACTCGAACTTTTTTATCTACATGGGACGCAACTCGACACTTGCCATTAAAACAAGTTGTACTAACCGCAACTCAAAATTTTAGCCTGTTATGAAGGGAGGATTTAGATGCGTTAAACTTGCTAGTACTTGATAATAAATGAAGCTGAATGCTGTTTTTACGGTTGCTTTGTAGTAAAAAGATCAAAATAAAGATTAGACAATTTTATGCACAAGTAACACACTTACAGCATATCGACGCCTCTTACGAAGACCAACACAGTTCAGATTTTCCCATTTAAAATAACATTAAAAATTTTGAACTGTGCTGGTCTTCGTACGAGGCGTCGAAATGTTATACAACACACGATACAGCATACGTTCGTCTATCATGGAGTCATGCATTAAGTTTTGCAACGCATCATGGCACGTACAGCACAGCTGTCCATAAAGCTTGTACGTTCTAAAAGCATGCACGCAGGCGCAAATCCAGATGCATCGGAGAGGGAGTCGATGGGCGTGCTCCTCCAGCCAGTAGGCGGGACCTGTCAGTCGTGTGGGGCAGAAAATGGCAGCGGTAGGCTTGATGACGGTAAGAAATAATTGATCGATACCAGGCGGCTCTAGTAAGGCCAGTAAAAGCCGAATCAGTGTGAAGAGCCAACTAAGTTCAACGAGGATAGAATTAAGGGAAAAACGCCTCCAGCTCAATTCGATCTAGTAGCTTTAGAGACACTTAGTTGATAAGCACACAACATTAATAATTAGTCTGACATTTACTATTACATATTTATTACTTGCCTGCTTCTCATTGTATTAGCATTTACAGTTTGAAAAAAGGTGGAAAAAAAGTTCGTTAGGATAAAATTTTAGGAACTGAATTTTCAAAATGGTGTAATGACTGTGGTAAATTTTTATTTGTGCTGTCAGAACTTTACTTAAATTTAATTAGTAAATCCTTAGCTATACAGTTATACTTTCTTTAACAGCAATATTAATATTAATATAGATTATACAAGCGCATTCGTCCAAATTGCTTTGTTCGTAGGAGTTTAAGGTATCATGATTTCATTGCATTTTAAGGAGACTTGAGTGAACTGCTGTAGAAGCAGTTGTCCGTAAAAAATCAGTTGTTGTACGTAAAGCTGAGTATGAACAAGGAATTATGATTTTTGTTCTTGTTAACAGGGTCCTCCAGGATATTATAAATACCTGAAGAATGTGCATACGCAACAAAATCTGCCCATGGGCCTTCGTTACTGTGCTTACGTGTGGGTCCATCAGATATGAATGCTATTTTCCGTATTGAGGCCAAAATAAACGTGCATATGTCACGAAAAACAACAGCGAGAGAAAATACTTTTTATTTTACTGTAGCAAAAAAAGAACTTTTTTCCGTGAACCTTTATTTCTCGGTATATGGCATTACTAAGATATTATGTACAACCTACAAGAGAAAACAAAGGAAGCCTCTGATTGTATTTTTCAACAATGCATGTCATCTGAGACATTTTTTATTTTTTCTTTCCAAGTAAATAATGTCTGAAAGTAACTTTTAGCTGTACTTTTAACTCTTCTGCTTATTCTAAGTAAAAAAAAAGCAGCATCCTGTCTACTGTTCATATTATGTGTGTTTGTAGTCCTCAACCATCACTCAGTAGATCGACTGCTTTGCCCAATTTTATCTAAGCGTATGAAACAATACATTGCAGTATCCTATCAAAATAAATGTGCGTTAGTATAACTATTTGTTTACTCAGCTTGTTTTAATTATCCTATATCTAAGTATATAATTTAATTTAACTAATTTGACCTCGAGTTCTTTGGGACAAGTGTGTTAATAATGCACATTTAAGATCTGGAAAATAACAACTATATCTGATTGAAACGAGTTAAGTTATAGAAAGTGTGTTACCTGTGCTACGGCTTGTTAGGAAATGAAATGTAAACAGACTTTTCTGACCACTTTTCTTTAAGTCGTTAAAAAAGTAATAGTGTAAGACAGTTCGTTGCGTCAAGTGTTTTGTTTACTTTACCAATTTAGTGAAACAAAGTATAGTGTGCTAAGTCTTTGTAAGGATTTTCTTAGCAATAAACTAAAAACAATACAATGAAACTAACTGCAAAAAAAAAAAACAAATAATAAAACAACTTTACATGTAATGAATATAAAACTATATAAATAATTAAGTAATTTTTTAATAAATATTGTAAATTCACTAAAACTTGCGACTGCCTTATTACTCTATTTTCTACATTTATTGTATACCTTTATACCAAACCACAAGCTTACAATACTTAGTATAATAAAAATTTACTTTGGTTTTTGTGATAGACACTCGATAAGTAATATTAAAAAAAAATTATTAGATTGGGTAAAATAAGATTTTCGAGGACAATGCTTTCGTCTAACTGTTAGAAATTAAGATGAAAGTGAATGAGGTTCTTACGTAATTCAAAGTAAATCAATTTGATAGATTTAATTAAAGTTAGTATGAATAATCAATCAAATGTGTAGTCATATAGATTTCGTGGAATAAGTATGTTTGACTGCGATAATTGCGCATATTTTAATAACTGGTACGGCAAGTGTTTAGAGATACGAAAAAACGTATTTATTTTAGTGCTGTCGTTTGATTCTTATAACATTTGATTTATTTCAACCGTTAACATAGTACACATTTATGTAATTATGGGTGTAAGCTACACAGTGCAAGTGTTTAAAGTATGGGTTTAGAAAAAAAAGAATATTAACTAGAGTAATCACAATAATTATAATAATAGATCTCATAATAAGAATTAAAACAACAATAACAGCTAAAATAATAGTAATAAAATAACAATATTATAATAAAACTATAATTTACAATAATTTTTGTATCATATTTATTACGTTAATCGTAATATTAATAATAGTCATGATAATAATCATAATAAGCCCATATTTAAAGTTATTCTTGGTAACATAGGTGCAGCGTATAAGACAAAATAAATGGGATTTTGGGTTCCAAGGGGATCGTCAACACACAGTCCGTCATCCTTCAGGCCCTGAAGCAATAGCACTGCAAGCAAGCGCCCAGGGCGGGGAAGTGCCAGAGAGACATCAGACAAGTACACAGCACAGAGTTCTCGTCAGTCCAAAGCTCTTAAGGAGGGGGCGAATTGCGCCAGCGGCATTGGCGGCGCTGGCCGAGCTATGATCCGACTGCTCCGAGCAGTGCCGAGGCCTTGTAAGTCTCATTAGTCCCGGCGGAAAGGCACCAAGAGAAGTCGAGTCCCGACGCTCACATGCCTCTTACGATGCACCGCTACGAGGTTGCTCTCTCAACACTCTCGACCGAGCACGCTGGCTCTTCACCAGCATCCTCGTCGCAACAACATCATCACCATCACTCTCAATCCACCGTATCGCCTGTTGCTCACCACCTCAACCAGCCGCAGCAACAGCACCATCACGATCACCACCATCACCCTGATCAACAACAGGAACAACTGGAGCACCATCAGGAGCGCGTCATCCGAACTGCCCGTGGTGATTTTTCTCTTGGCAGCCTCTTTCCTGGTATGAACGCTCATCAACACCATCAGCAGCAGCAGCATCTTGAACCCGAGGTATCTCACAATGCCGAGTCACCGTATCTGCCGATCCGAACCGAATCACCGGTAACAGTACGGTGTATTGCTCCGAGCTCACCCAACTCAAGCCACAGCCCCAACGAGGATCAGCAACAGCAACAACAACAGCAACACCAAGAACAGCTGGCTTCACCACACCGGCACAATAGTAATTATAGTCCTGTTGGAGGGCAGGAACAGGGTCGTTTACAAAATCTAACCCACCTGCAGCCTGCCGTTCTGACTGTGAGTTCCTTGCCAGATGAGCGCACTAGTCAGCTTTTTTTTGATCCGATTTACCACCAGCCGAGTCCTCAAGCCCACCTTGCCCACCACCACCACCACCATCATCATCATCATCAACAACACCATAGCCACACCCAGCAGCAACAGCATCAGGAAGAGCAGCAGCAGCAAGAACAACAGCAGCAGCAGCAGCAGCAGGAGCAGAGTCCTGGAGCTCCGCACTCACCTATCGGTGCCAGGTTAGTGAGCAAGCATGTGCCGATCCACATGGGTCAGTGAGCGTTGTTGATTGTGCAAACGGAGAGATAAAATCGCGATTCTAATCTTCTCTCGCGTAAACGGATATCAAATGTATTGAAGGGCATCTCTGAGTTATTGCTTATATTCGTAATAGTATTTACTCAATGAGTTACCAGCGTGGAATAAAAATCCTTTATTCCTAATAATTGTTGTACCTTATTATAATACTTATATTTTGTAACATAGATAGCAAGTACAAGTGTATACTTAGTGCTCCAGATAAGCGTCACGTGTGATAACTTTATAAGTACTTAAGAATGTGTGGAGGATTTGTCAATATAGCTTGGTAGCTCATAAAATAGTGTGCAGATTTTGGGCTTCACCTCACTTTTCTTTTCTCATTTTCGTGCTCGTGTATGGGTAGGCAGTGAATACGTTTTTTTACCGAATTTAGTAAACATTAAATGAATCTGAATGACAGTAAAAATGTTCATAAGGTAATATATTTTGTTAAAAATTTTTTTGCTCATTATATATTAAAAGTCATAAGAATCTGATGATATGAAACTGTGAGCATTCAAAAATCTACTTTGTTAAACAGTGTACATTGAATAAAAGTGACGTAAGGCACACTATGCCAAAGGGTAGATACGTGCGCCCACAAATGTGTGTTAAATTATGTACAATATTATTTCGATTCTTTTATTGCCCAAAGGAATGCAGGATATCTATCTATTAGGACTAAGATCTTAAGCAGAAAATTTTATTATCGTTTTTCAAATTGAGAAAAACGTAATGAAGTCCTCACACAGTCAATGTATGCTGTGATCCTATAACTGTTAATTAATTTTCTTTTTCTCTCCCCCTTTTTTTTTCCTTGACATATATTTTAACACCTAATAAAACATACTCATTGTTCATTTGTGCTCGGAAAGCTAACTTTATTGCATTTTGTGTACTTTACTTTGAACTTTAAGATTTTTAATTTACCTTAGTTTCAAATGCACGCGTTGAATAACTTTTTGACGCTGGTACAAAAAATCATATAAATGTTTACCAGTCGTACAAAAATTTTTTCTTCTAACTGCTTTAGTAAGGAATTAAAAAACATGTTCATCAAGTTTTGGTTAGGAAGTTGCTATAATAAGTTCAAAACATTTTTTGTATAGACAGATATACAATAATTAATGCGTATGCTGTAAGAATTGAGTGAAAGTCGATGAAAAATTTTTTTTTTTAAGTGAAGAGAATTGCAGCAATAAGAAAGTTATTTGCTTTAACATTTAAGAATCGTTAGTTTCAAGATTCAAGTGAATCAAAAAGGAAATTCTTGTGTTGGCAAACGAAACTGAGTGCTCTCACGTTCGTCATTCCACCGTGAGAGAGAGAGAGAAAGAGAAAGATGTGCATGAATCATGTACTCGTGGCTTGACAAAACAGCATTGTAAATGCGTTTAGTTCAACAGGGAAAACTCGGCTTTCTTCGTCACGAGCTGTAAATACTTTTCTCGGCAACTAATATTTTTCTTACACTGAGTTCTCTTTGTCTCTCTGTCATTCCTTTCTTTATTTAGTATCTTAGCTCAAGCGTACACTTAAATACGTTTCTTGTTACTATTTACATACTTTCAATGCAGTATTATTGTACTTTGAACAATTTAATTGTTACGCAACACATTATTTTAACTATAAAAAGATTTATTCAAAAGCACAACATGAATAAAAATGACGAGGTAAAATTACGATGATGTAGCTGTAGTATCCAGTGCATGGTTAGAAAAAAATGATCGGAGAACCTAGCGTAGTAACAGTAAGTCTCATAAGTTTTATTATCTGGCACAAGCTGGTTTGCTTAAGAAGTATGAGGTACTGTCAAACACGAGAGACCATTCAAGTTCTTAAGTATTTGTATAGGGCGAGAGGAGTTTCAATTTATCGTTCCCGCGCTATAGTCAAGGGCTTGCAGATCTCTCGTTTCATTTTTCGCGCTAGGAAAACAAGCACAAGATCTTCTTCTGAGCCTTTAAGTAAACATTGTGTTTTTCTGTTTTCAAAAAAATAATCTCTCTGTTTCTCCCATAGTCTGAGTTCTTTCGTATTCCGTTCTGATAGTTTCATAGCTTATTTATTTATGTAATTAATCATTTTTACGCCATTAGTAGATTAATTTGCGATCTCGAATAATGTCAAATATGACTCTCAATGAAGCATGTAGATAAGTGTAATTGAAACAAGGGAGTTAAACAATAGGCCTTCATTTATAAAAGTGACAAGTCTAGTATTTATAAGATTAGATAAGTTTAGAAATAATTTGAGGCTTTTTTATTTTCAACTACAGTACGACAATACGATTTGTATAAGTATTTTATTGCATCCATGCTGCGTGGATGTTTCATGCAAACCATAAATAAGTATGCTCTCAGTGGGATACCGTTGAAGGATTCTTGAAATTTTTGTCTTGCGAAAAAAAAAGAGTTTCATATCACTAATCTCGTGCCTTTACTATTCTTGTCTTTGGGGATAGAAGTTCGCCTTATAAACGATGCCTAGTTAACTCTATACCTTAGATGTGTGATATAATATTAAGGTACAGTTGTACCCAATAGCAAGATGCAAAAAATAGGACCTTTCGTGCCCAAAATCGTTACAGAATGTTACACTTACTTTTCTAAAAATGTATAACTTATACTTTGACATGAACAGTAAACACTTTCAAATAAAAAAATATACTATGTTGCGTTAGCAAACTTCAATGTATAAACAAATCATATCAATTGCAAAGTCTTCGCCAATCGCTGTCATTGATTAACAGTTATTAAGCAGTACATTACTTCTTTTTAAGCTACATATTAAATACTATGCAACAGTAAAGTAGTTAATTAGCGATTCAATTGATTACAGTACTATATATTTTCTTTAAAGCAATTAAAACGTAAAAAAGTAAATGCAACAAACACTAATTATTCCTTTTACTGAAAAACCAGGTTACTTAGAACTTAAAACTTATCTTTAACATCTTCTAAGGCATATTCTTAAGATGAAATTTTTTTGTACCACTTTACTGTTATTCGTAAATGTATAAACTTTGTTTTTTTCGGCTTTTGCAAATATCTCTAGCTATTTTCTACTAAGGTAATAGTATGTGTACATTTAAACACTTTATCTAATTGTACTAGTAGGTAGATAATTTTGAAACGACTATTTTTATATTTCATAAGATGTAGAAAAAAATTGTTTGGACATTCTTTGACCTTTCAAATAAATCAAAGTTTATATTTAAACAAGCATGTACATTCAGTGAGAAAAACTTGTTTATCTGGACGAGTTGTGCAAAGGGGCTTGTAAGTGACTGTTATGACTTTGGTACCTTTGAATTTGTCTACCCACAGAACTTAAACATGCGAAAAAAAATAAAAATCGCAACAATAGTAGAATGTCAAAACTGTCGTTAAAGCTTTGATAAGACGCAACCAAAAATATATGAAATATATTTTATCAATTGAATTTGCAATTTATGATCGAAATGGAAGCTAGTAAAAAGTAGCTAACTTAACCTCTCGCCCATTAAATCAACATGGAATTTTCAACAACCGGGTGAAATATACCTATTAGTACTGGTACCTGAACATGCTTTTTATCTACTTAGTGTTTGTTTAAAGAGACCTTAAAATAAAATTATATTATAAAAATTTATTTATGATATGGACAAAAAGTCTTTACCTTTTGCATCAATGGAGAAAATTCGACGGTTGGGTAAAAGACAGAGCCAACTTAGATAATTGGTGTAATAGAAGCCAACTCGAAATTTGGGTGGAAAAAGCAGTCAACTCAGATTTGGCTTGAAGAAGGAGCCAACTCAGGTTCGGGTTAAAGAAGCAGCCTACTCGGGAGTAATTTTTTTTCATCAAGTTTTGTCGTGGTAGCACTGAAATTCACAATATAGGTATACCTATATAAACGAACAAAGATTTTTCAATAATCCAATGGTTCAGAAAACTAATTTATGTTATTGTAATAGAGTGTACTACACTAATTAAATATTTGCAATACATTCACGAACATAAACAATCGATTTTAACCTTACAGTTGCAGAAAAAATCTAAAAAATTAGTGCATTCCCTCACATGTTCGCAACATTACACCATACTAATCCCTAACAAAAAATAACATACACAGAAATACTACAAAACTCAAATGACCTCTGTCGTTTTAATACAAAGAATGACTCGCAAGGCTTGTTGAGTTTAAAGCGCACATTAGTTGCTGTGGTGTGCTAAATAAAGTGATAGCAACATTTTACTTTGTAATACAATCTACTATGTAAAACATTCTTGGAAATCAACTACATTTTTAAATACATTTAAATTGATCACATTTAGACTAATATAGCACACAATTAAATAATATAGTGCGTTTTATTACAACATGAATTATTCTTCTGAAATAATTTAGCAGCGAACCTAAAACCCTAACATTTTTTATGTTTGTTTTAGGTATTTAGCGCAATTTGATTTGAACAATTTTGAAAATAAAATAAAGGATGACCATGGTATTACTAAATCAGATTTGAGAGGCAAACATAAGAACAGATAAAAAAATAGCGTTTAAAAAGTACATAATTTAATAAGTATAGTACACTCTATTACAATAACATAAATTATTTTTTCTGAACCATTAGATTAATGAAAAATCTTTGTTCGTTTATGTAGGTATACCTATATTGTGAATTTCAGTGCTACAACGACAAAACTTGATAAAAAAAAATTACTCCCGAGTTGGCTGCTTCTTCAACCCGAACTTGAGTTGGCTCCTTTTTCAAGCCAAATCCGAGTTGACTGCTTTTTCAACCCAAATTTCGAGTTGGTTCCTTTTTCACCAATTATCTGAGTTGGCTTTGTCTTCTACCCAACCGTCGAAATGTAAGCTTACTACTAAAGCAACTGATTTGTTATTGTGCAAATTGAATTTAATTGAGCACTGTCACAAAACGAGATTTTCC